TTGGCTGAAAGCCTTATTAGAGATAGAAACAGTTAAGCACATAGATGGACAAGCCCTGCTGAAAAACAGTCAGTATGGCTTTTGCAAAGGTAAGTCCCATCTCACTAACCTATTGGAGTTCTTTGAGACTGTCAATAAGCATACATAGAGGCAAGCCAATAGACATTGTTTACTTGGACATCCAAAAGGCTTTTGACAAAGTCCCTCACCAAAAGTTCCCAAGCAAATGCAGCAGTTATGGAATGGTGGCAGTGGGGGAGCGGAGGTCCTTTTATGGATTAGGAACTGGTTAAGAAAAGAAAACAGAGAGTGAGAATAACTGGTAATTATTCCCAGTAGAGAAACAATGAGGTCCCAGAGATTCTGAATTAGTATCAGTGATAGTTCAATCTATTCACAAATGATCTGGAATTAGAAGTGAGCAGCAAAGTGGTCACATTTGCTGATGACACTAAGCTATTTAGGTGGTTAAAACCAAAAGGGATTGTGAATAGCTCCAAAGGGACTTTTCCAAGTTGCGAGAATGGGCATCGAAATGCAGCTCGAAGTAAGCAAGTGTAAAATAATGCATATTGGAGCAAAAAAATTCCAACTTTAAGTATAGGCTGATGGGATCTGAGCTAGCAGTGACTAAGCAAGAAAGGGATCTTAGAGTGGTAGTGAAAATGTCCGTCCAGTGTTCAGCTGCTGTGAAAAAGGCAGACTCCATGTTAGGCATAATTAGGAAAAGGAACAGAAAACAAAAATTCCAAGATTGTACTCTCCTTGTACAAATCCTTGGTGTGACTACACTTAGAGTATAGTGTACAGTTCTGGTCACTGTACCTGAAAAAGGACATTACAGGGTTGCAGCAATTCTCTTACGAAGAACAGTCATCCATCCATCGCATCTGTATACCACTGGTGGTTTACAGAATAAAAATGTGGAAGTAAAAATGATAAAATTGAGGCCATCATATTTTGGACATGTTATGAGAAGGCAAGACTTCCTGGAGAAGACAATCATGGTAAGGAAGGTCAAAGGCAGAAGGCAAAAGGGAAGACTAAATATGAGATGGATCACAAAGGAAGCCACGGCACTGAACTTGGAGTAGACAAATAGTATTTTTTAGAAACAGAATAAATAGAAATCCTTTCCCCCCTCTTTAGTTCCAAATTGTGCTCTCTCTGTGTGTCACACTTAAGCACAAGGAAGTGTAAGGAAGAAAAGCAATAAACCTGCATTCTTTGATTGCCCACGTCATGCCCTGGTTTATCAATCTTGTGACAACAAAGACAAATCAATGGAAATATCTTCTGTATCATCTGTAAAATATATCTTTATCCACAGGAAAAAAACCCTACAATACAAAAGATATACAAATAAGATATACATAAACTGCAGGGGAGGGGTCATTGGGGGGGAAATGAAAAAATCCACTAGGATGACAAGCTCTTGAGCATAGTGGAACTATCTGTTTGGATTCTGGTTTTTCTCGTCGGAGCTTTATAGAAACTAGAGCCACTGCTAAGCTAGAATTGCTACAGTCACCTCATTTGATCCAGCCCTTGCAGGAATGGGTATCTGCACATATGATGGGGTTAAACTATGTACTTAAATATGCACATAGCCCCCTTAAGAGGGGGCTTTGAAAATTATAGAATAATGTGGAATAAGAATGACATAATACATAAAAACATGCAAAGAACACACATGAAAATAGATCCCTATTGCAAAAGGAGATTTTGATTAATAAATTGCTCAGTGGTAAAGAGGGTGATGGTTACTTGGCAAGGAGCACCTCTTCTTTGTCTTGTTCCATTGGCAGCATGATGGAGGGTAAACCACAAATCCTTGGGTATGTTTTCATGAAGTTTAGTAGCCATTGCAACTATTGTATGAAGTGTAGTTGTACTGATGGTTTTTCATATTTGATCATATATTTATGATCCCAGAGTCATATTTTAATTGTTTATTGGGATGGGGAGCAGTGCGTGCGAGAGACACATGGGTATTGTCAGCAGCATGGTTACCAAAGCTTTAAACCAGGTGCTGAGGCGACAAGAGCAGAGCTGTTGGGGTTGGCGGAGACAACAGAAGGGATGCAGAAACGGTGCTCAGCCTTGTTTCCATGCCACAGGATTATAACCACACAAACAAACTCCAGCATAGGTTTCCTGTCTCACTTGTACTTGATGAAAAAGAGGGACAGAGCTGGGTTTTTTCCCCATCCCAGTGAAACTGCAGTCCCCATGCCCAGATACGTCAGACATGAGACGAATCTGGAGGAAGGTCACATCTGCGAAACATATAGAAGAATGGCTTTCTTCATTTTAGTATCTCTGCAGGTAAGATGAAGTTTTCACCACTTGGCCTTCTTTTCTCCAGCTTTTTAATTTTTAATTTACTTAAGTTAGGAATACTGAACCTGAATGAATGTGAAGGCCAAATGTTTCACTTCAGTTACCTGGACTCTACACCCATAATTTTCACCAAGGAACACTCGCTGATGGACTCAGTTGTTGCCCCCTCCTTTAAAAAAAGGGGTGGTGGTGGTAAATAAATAAAGGAAAATAAATAAATGAAATTCAGAGCTGAAGCAAATGTGATCCTTGTCTCTTAGTATATTTTTTACTCTCCTTTTTGGCATCTTTCATGCTGGAAATATACAGGCCCAGGGAACTTACAGTGATGGCATCAGTTACACTAAGTCTCTGAAGAGTAAGAATTCATCCATTTCACACACATATGGAAACGATGACTATATAAATGTCCTCAACCAATGGAAGGCATATATGAATATCCACTTGGCATAAGCCTTCCCTATGGAGGGTGCTTTTTGAATGCACAATCCTCATTCTGCCCATTGAAACAATTATACCTCCTAGGCATGGCTTGTTCAAGGCGGAAACAACCCTCATATAATGCATGTTGTGCAAAATGGCTCAGAGATTACTACTGAGGGCATCCTCCAATCCACAACATACAGACCAATTCACAAACTAGCTAAGTAACACTTAGATTTAAGCATGTTTTAGCCCAATCAACAGTTTAAAATCAATTTAAAGCCACACCTTCTGATCTGATTGTTTGTGAAGCAGAGGTTAGAAGCTAAACCCACTTTTCAGTACATCATTCAAATGGCATTTTGATGCCAAATAAGAGATCTGAGAACATAAACACAGCTCAGTTTCATTTGAAATCAACAATGTGGCACTTTTATAATTAAACAAGGGTGAGCAGAGGCAGAATGACATGCTTAATAGGGTCATCATAGGGGAGATCAAGAGCATTTACGTACCTGTAAGAAAACTGTGGATTTTGTGGGTGATAAGGATAAAGTAATCGTTTACTTATAAACAACATGGCAGACATTTTTAATAGCAAGTACTTTGCACTCTTGATATTTAATAAATGTAGCATTTTATTTCTGTGGTACAAATATATGAAATTATTAATACTTATACCACTTCCATGTCACAAACTGTTTCTGTTTCATGTAGAATATGTAAAAGGTGGAAAAAATTGCCTTAATTAGTACAGTGATGCCAATACATGCAACAAATATTTTAAAAAGCATGTAAAGGTACTACAGTGCTAATTTATCATAGATTAAGACTTTATCTTTGTTATACACATCACATTTTTGTATGCTTTGTTTGGTAAATACGTTATCATTCCAGTTGTGACTAATACATGCCTGACCCACATTGCTAGACTGGTACCAAATTGCAAAATTAAGTTGATCTGATTTCATTTCAGCTACTGGATTAAATTACTTTAAATCTAAATGTGGCTCTGTCCAACAGTTAAATGATAAGTCATGATGAGTTAAATTCCACAATGAATTTCAGTAAGATATTTCTCTTTTTCTTGTCACTGAGTTGCTTCCAAAGTTTGAACCAAATAAATGGCAATGTGTTTACTTGTATAATTTACAGTACACATTGCCAGAACCTGAGATGCCATAAATGGCTCTCCCTTTCCTTTTATATTTGCAACAGCCCTGTGAGGTAGGTTAGGCCCAGAATGTCTGATAGGCTTACAGTTACCCATTAACATTCATGACTGAGTGAAAAGGAACTTGGGTAGCCCTGGTCTTAGTCCACTGACCTCTGCCCAGTGCTGGCTTTCTTTTGTACTGTCTACTAATTTTTTTTTAATGGCTGCACATTTATAGACGACGTTGCGTGCCAGAACTATAGGTTTACATCCCAGCCAGGCAAACTATGCCACTGGCATATCAGCCAGTGCTGATGCTGATATGAAAAGGGTACACACCCTGGCTATATAGCACTATTTATCTGTTACATTAGGAATACATTTTGGAAAATCTTTTTGAATAAAATTTCTAGAATTGTGAAATAGCATTTCTCTTCTTCCAAAGGGTGCAAGGACCTGGGAAAAGGATTTGCCTCAAAAGGTGGTATAAAACATTTTAAATAAATACATTTAAATTAAATGAGTTGTAAGGCTCAATCAATGCATGTTTAGACAGAGAAAGTCTTATAACTCAGAATTCTCCAACCACCACAGCTGGTAGCCGGGAGGCTTTTTTACTATCTCAGCATTCATAGGATTGTGCCCTCAGCTATTAAACTTGCATTAAGATGAAGGTTCTAATCCTGGATTTCAATTATTATACAGCAAGCCAAAGGAACATGTCTACCAAATTAGTGGCAGGTGGCACTAAATAAAATCTTATAAAGTTTATAATTGCATTCTTGCCATATTTGGGGATATGTACAGTACAGTATCGAACCATTTAAGACATTTTCTCTGGCCACCCTACATCTGCAGCTGCTGTGTTTTTTTAATATTTCCCATAGCTTTCCCCACATTAGTATAAGAAACAAAGGGGGGTGCAATTAAATTTAAGTTAATTACACACTTAATGACACCATACATTTCTTAATTCATTTGCACTGAAAGAAACCATGCTATATTATTTATAGATTTAATTAATCTGTACATTTATTTAAGACATAAAGCACTGCAGTGTAAACAGGCACCCTTGTGTTTCAAGTCACTCTCATCTCATAAATATTAATAATGTTGTTGCTACTGCTGCTGTTATTGTTTTTGTTACTGAACCTAATGAATCCGTTACTGAACCTAATGAATCCGTTTCTAACTAGAACTGAGATACTTGTATATAAGTGTTTTAAAAAAATCAGCGCAGGTCCATGCAACGCCAGGACATAAATAATTCAATACAGAAAAAATAGTTTTCAAAAGAGAAACCTCTCAGTTTGGGTTGTTTATCCCCCTAAAAGTATTTGTACAAATAAATAAAGTCAGAGAGATAAGATACATACTCCGTTTTCCTTAGCTGTCCTGAATCACATTGCACCAAATAATCTTACCTACCTTGCAGAGCCAACCTGAAACAGAGGCCACATACCCCAGCCTGCTCTACAGGGCGCGTCAGGAAGGCTCATCTGCTATGCTAAACTTGGGCTTTAACCTAACAGATCTTTTCCTAATGGTGCTCCTCGGTGACAAGGCAATGGTGCCCCAAATGCCTGGGTCTTCCTCCAGCTGCCTGGCAGTGCACTTAGGAGTGGAGATCTTCACTGTGTTGCCAAACTTGGAGTAGTCCACCGAATACTGCCCGTCCTCTTCCGTCACAATCGGCACGAACCTTTGCCCCCAGAGGATCTCATCGGCCAGGTAGGATGTCCTGGCCTGGGTGGTGATGCCCGTGGTTTCCACCACCCCTTCCAGGATGACTATAACTTCCAAGTCCTCGTGGTGGTGGAGATGGGAGGGGGCCACGTCGTACAGGGGGCTCTGCTTGTCTATGACGTGGCAGATGATGAGCGGGGAGACGAGGAAGATGCTGTTGCCCCCAACCGGGTTCTCCATCTGGATGTCGATCTGGTTGAGGGGCACCACTTCCCCCTCCAGGCTGGTGGTCTTCTTCACCACCTGCATGCGGATGGTGGCGCTAATGATCATGCTCTTGCGCAGGTCGCCCACGCGCAGCATGAAGCAGAGCTTGCCCCCGCGCAGGGCGATCACCGCGTGCTTGCTGAAAATGAGCGTCTCGGCGCGCCGGCGCGCTTGGGCCGTCTTCATGAAGATGCATCCCAGCATGATGGCGTTGATCACCAGCCCCACGATATTCTGCACTATCAGGATGAGGATGGCGGCCGGGCACTCCTCGGTCATCATGCGGCCGCCGAAGCCGATGGTCACCTGCACCTCGATGGAGAAGAGGAAGGCCGAGGTGAAGGAGTGCAGCTCGGTCACGCAGGGCACGAAGCCCGCCGCCGCGCCGTCGTCGCCCGGCAGGTGCAGCCGCCGCGTGCTGTGGTCCAGGTCGCCGTGCGCGAAGGCGATGAGCCACCAGATCATGGCGAAGAGCAGCCAGCTGCAGAGGAAGGACATGGTGAAGATGAGCAGCGTGTCGCGCCACTTCAGGTCCACCAGGGTGGTGAAGACGTCCTGCAGGAAGCGGCCCTGCTCCCGGATGTTCTTGTGCGCCACATTGCAGGCGCCGTTCTTGCCCACGAAGCGCGCTCTCCTCTCCCGCGCGCGGAAGCGGGCTTGCTCGGGCACGTCCTCGGCTAGCCGGGTCAGGACGTATTCCTCCGGGATGATCCCCTTCCTGGACAGCATGGCTGGCATGAGCTCCCGCCGCCGCACCCTCTGCTCCTACTGCGGTCGCCCCATGCCCGCCGCCCGGACGAGATTGCACGGGGCCATAACGCCGCCAGCTCCTCCGCCCTGTGGCCGAGTGCCCTCACCCGCGGCTCTGCGCCCTCCCACCGCCGCCCCGCCAGGGGCCGCGAACCCGATCCGCGCCCCCGCCGCCCCAGCTGCGCACGCCAATCACAGCCCTCCCCGGCTTTTGCCAAGAGGCGGCGGCGGAGGCTTTTCGTGACACTCTCCTGCAGCCAACCAGCCCGCGTGTGACAGGAGATGCTCCAACCGCGAGGCACCGTCGCCCATATCCGCGAGCGCCCGCAGAGCCGCCGCTTCGGGAAGCCGCAGGCACAGGCGCGTGCGGGCGCCTGCCCGAGCATCGCGCGGTGCGGGCCGGCAGGGGGCGCTGTCGCGCAAGGCAAGCCTAGCACAGGTGACTCCCGCGCCCGGGGGAGGGACGCGCGAGGCAAGGACCCCCGAGCCGCCCTCTTGTCTTCTCGCGAAGCGGCGCGCCGCACCAAGGAGAAATGCCGGGATGGGCTGGCCGGGCGAGGGGAGGGGAGAAATGAAGAAGGGACGTGGAAAGAGCTTTGAAGGCTTCAGGTGCCTGCACCTGCTCTGGCAACTCGTCTGTTTTGGTTATCAGTTGGGCCCATCGATCTCTGAAGGGGATAAGCTGTGAATGGGGGGCGGCCTTACTGATTCCTGACTAGGCTCTTCTCTCAACCTAAACACTGTGCAATCCAGAGAGAGGGGAAAATATGGGTCTGTTCACACTGCACGATAGTCATGGGATGGTTAAACAAGCCATGGGCTGTTGGGCAAGAGGCAGTGCCTGTGGCTTGCCAGCTGCTTCCATTTTTAATCAACGACCTGTAGTCAGCTCCACTGTTTGTTGAATGCGGTATCTTGGATAATTTGTGGGTGAGAGGCAGCACACGCTCTTGCTTGTGAATGACAACCCTTTGGGATTGTCACTGGATGCAAAGTAAAGGCTGTCAGTGACCAGTGGCAGCAGCTAGTCCTTGCCTTTGACTCCACTGACTAGAGTCCAATTTATTAAATGCATCTTTTATGAGCAACAACATACGTACAGGGGCATTCAGAGAAAATAAATTGTGAATGGTGTAGCCAGTGAAATACCGTTGTGTCCAAGCAAAGCTCAAATGCATACAAGGTAACCAAAGTGACCACTTGTGACTGGTGATAACATAGTCTTTCTAGTGTTACTGGTTGGGGAGGGGGTGGGGAGAGAAACTTGCAGACACTGATAACTGCTTCCCTTGTTAAGCAAATGTAGCAATTCTGGTCATTATTGGTAATCAATTTCTATTTTCCATTGTTATCCATGATGCCTTTCTGCATGCAAAAGCTGCCTTTCCTTCCACTTAATTATTTGTGTTACTCTTTGGTGTCCTTCAGTTGCTAAGACTCCAATATTATATATGTCAACTCCCCTAAATTCAGTGGAACTTACTCCCAGATAAGTGGACATAGGATTGCAGGCTCTGATTTATTTATTTTTAATATAGATACTGCTTTCTGCTTCTGTTTTATATTTGTGCAGTGCTTAGTTCAGACCTTTCAGAATTCATTGCCATTTTATAGAATAATTTGTAGCATTTCAAGTCATTTTGCCTTGAAAAAATTGTACTGTTTATTTGTTCTTGTGCACTACCATAACTAATATTTGATATAATGTAGCACTGCTTGCTGAATCACTGAATCGGGTCATTAGGATGCCATTGACTTTCATGTGTAAGTGCTTAGGGCTTGACAGAATTAATTGCTAGTACATTTATCCTGGACTGCATATTTAACAATATTAAATGGGTTGTTCAGCATGAGCTTATCAGAGAGGGAGGCGTGGATAAACGTAACTATTTATATCTGCTTCTCCCAAGAATCTGTAATGTTTTGTGGAGGTTTTTTTTTTTTTTTTTTTGGTCACTTGCAAACAGTTTTTCTTTTTACTCTGGTTTACTTCATAGCTCTGCAAATGATTAGCATGGTTGCTTCAAATATTTTTCAGGGAGCAGGGAATACCTGTCTTTTGCTTATTACTTCTTCAGGCCTCCTTGCACAGTTGACTGTGAGTGTAAAAGCCAAAAGATTGGTGTAGAACCACGTTTCTAGAGATTTCAATATTCAGATTAGATTTTCTGGAAGGTCTTTTGCATTAATATGATTTTATTTTATTCATACACTGCATTTTCACTAAAGAGACTGTCCAAGGCAGCAGACATTAATAAAATAGAGATAAATGTGCCTATTTTTAAATTAAACAATATTTAAACTCACTACACTCACTACATTTAAAAACTCACTAAACTCACTACATTTAAAATCACACAGAAAGTTCATCAGTTGAAAATAAATAAAATATAAACAGCACAAACCAGTTGATACTGAATTCAGCAAACATGCTGGCGCAAAATAAAAATATCTTTGCAGTAGAAAGATATGACTACAGGATTATCCCTGGCAGCAGGTTCTAGAACCTGGGACCAATCACCCAGAAGGCCTCCTCTTCTGTTTGCACAACATGTCTCCCCAGCAGTGGTAGAATGAAGGGAAAGGTCTTTCCTATGGACCTTAAAACCTAGGCAGGCTCGTAAGTGAGCATAAGGGGTCCCTTGAGTAGCCATTTCCCAAGTCTTTTGCAGAACACCATCCATTGCTAGCCTGACACATCTTTGCTCCTAAACTCTGTTGCTGAGTGTGTGTGTATTTATCTTCCAGGTTATTATAATGAAGCATTTTACTTTTAAGGAAGTTTATAGTAAGAATTATTTGTAATAGTTGGGTATGCCCACTTATTTATTTATTAAAAGCTTTTGTATGCCGCCCTATTATACAGGATCTCAGGACAACTTACAATATTTAAAAGAACAATTAAAACAATTGACTAAGATGTCCCCTAAAATGGTTGTATGCAGTGAAAATCCTGCTTTTCCCGCTTTACATTCTTTCCCTTGCCTTCACATTTGAAGTTTCCTTTCCTGAGTTGGAAAGAATAATCTTACGTTTTATTAATCTTTTATTTTCTGTTGGTACGTTTCTTATTGTTGTTGATGCTAGTTGCAAACTCACCTTGTATAACATTTTAAAGCAAAGCCACAATTTGCAAGAGTGGAAATTATATATTTTTTCCATTAGAAACACAAGTTCATTGCTCTTGCTTTTATTTCGAGACTAGATGGGAGGAGGGGGTACATGCAAAATGCCCCCTTGCTGTGTTTCACATGGCTGAGTACAGAACAGCAAAAATGCTTGAAAGGGGTAGTCTGTTGCATCGCTACTACTGGATTATCCAACCATGTTTTCAGATTCCGCTATGAACACCTCACTAAGGGAAGAGACTTATGGGTAAGTTTGGTAATGAACGAAAGAAACTCTCTGAGGAAACCTATCAGCATAACCATAATTCAAGTCTGTTCTCCAATGGCAGCTGCCAAAGAAGAAATAGAAAACTTATATGCGAGTGTCCAAAAGGATATTGATAACACATAAAGCCAAGACATGCTGATCCTCATAGGTGCCTGGAACACAAATGTAGGTGAAAATAAAAGAGAAGGTGGAATTAACATACAAAACTACTATAGAGAAGAGATAAATGGACAGGCTGCTTTGAAGAATATTGATGAAAATGAAAGTGCAAAAGCAGGACTACAACTGAAGATTAAGCACCCAAAAATTGTGACTACAGAAGAATGAAAGCTGAAGACAGAATCAGAAGAGGAAGACCAACTATGAGAGGGATCATACAGAAAGACAGTCTTGAGTTTACAAGAGCTGAGCAGGGCTATGAAGGATGGAACATTCTGGAGGGCATTTATTCATACAGTTGTTATGGTTGGAGATGACTTGATGGCATGTAAACAAGAAGTACATTTCATTAAATCAGACAAAGGCTGGAAATGAAGCACTTAAGAAAGTGTGATAAGTTGTCAGATGGAGAGCCGTATATTGTTACCATCTTGCAGTTAGGGTGACCAATGTGCTCTTCTTTACAAGGGACAGTCCTGTGTTTGCAGGACTGTCAGAAAGTATTATTTAATTTGATAGTGTCCTATATTTGATGTTGTCCAGTTCTTATCCATTTCAGAGATACTGAACTGGTTTCAGGCTAAGTTAGTTGAACAATTGAAATCAGTAGAACAATTTAGTCATGACCTTAAGTTCCATTGATTTTAATGCTAAGCTGAGCATAATTAACAAATGAAGCCATCCAATGTAGCTGCATGTAACCCTCCAAATGTGGATGTTTATGGGCATCCAGTTAAGGGCAGGAGGAATGCATAGGCTAGGATGACTTCCTCATGTCTCTGTCCTGCAAAAGACAAAGATGTCATCACTGAGGCACCCTGCCAGAGCATCCCCTTTACTCTTCTCCTCCTGAGCCCCATCACATGCCAGCTCCATGTCACACTTGTGACTTGAGGGCTGCAGCCCATGTGAAAAGAACTGTGCTGGCTGCTAGGGCAGAGGGAAGTAACTTACAGTGTCCCAGGTCTGACCTCAGAATGGATTTATCACCTGGGAGCTGCTACTGTGGCCTGATCTGTTGCCATCTAAGCAGCATCTACCAGCCATAGCATTGCACCTTTAGTCTGGATCCAATCCAGGGATCCATAGAGAGAGAGGGCAGACATGGACATCACCTATTTACATTTAATGCCTGGAGACACTGGTTACCTCATCGCAGTCACAGGTGGCATGTATTATAGTTTTCTTCAGTAATTCTTCCAGAATTGAATGGGTCTACCTACCTATTTCCATTTATTTATGCAAACATCTCTTTTTCAGGTGCCTTTTTGGGCAGTGCACAGGTGGGGGCTTAGTTACAGGATTACCAGTAGTAGATTGTGCAAAAATGTCATTAGGAATTGGATTGCATCTGAGCAATTATAATCAGAACCTGCACTGTTGATAATAATGAACATACTTACCATATTTGTTATGTATCATGG